ATAAATTTGATTTTTATATAAAAATTATTAAATTATAATTCAACATATTTGATATGTACTATCTCAAAAAATATATGTTTAATAATCTTTATACAAAAATTAATTTTTTTCTTAAATTAAAGCCTAGCACTATTATAAAAAAATAATATACGTTTTTTATTCAGTTTTATAGATATGTTGCATATGTTGATTAATATAAAACAACATGGAAAACTATAATCGTATTTTTAAAAGATGCTTTACAGATAAGATTAATTATACTTTTTGCAAAAAAGTATAGGTTTTATATTATAGTAATATTTATACGCAACATTCTTATTAAACACTAAATAAAAAAATATAATATATAGTCTTATTTTTTAATTGTATAAATGAAAAAGCGTCTGGAACAAAGATATATTTTATATATGTGTCTCCACACATTATCATATGTTTTAGCTAAAGTAATTAAATTTTGCTTTCCATTATATTTTACCTGTATATTTTCACACACTCGCACGTATTCTGTTTTCTTCGTTATAATTTATATTATTGCGATCTTGATCACCAATGTCGAGGATGTTACGTGTATCAAATATAATTGTAATTAAATTCTAACTGATGAAGATTTACACAGTTGTCTTCGATGTCTGATATACAACGTCTAATATTTAATAGTATAACGACTTTCTCAAAGTGAGTGTTAAACTGTGACTGTTTCGGGTCGGCAACATCGCGCCAAACGACTTTCTCGATAAACAAGATTTGTTATGTATACATTTTGTGTGTATTACTTATATTTATATTGTATACATTTCTTATATTGTGTACCTCGAACGTTTATTATCCTTGGGCAAAATCAAAGTTAAATTTAAATTTTAAGATAATAGTATGTGTTATTTTTAAAATTGCTATCATAAAATAATGAAACATTGTTGAACAAAACATTCAAAAAGTTTTTTGTCACCAATGAAATAATGAGATCGCGGACCGACAAAAAGCATCACTCCTTTCTTGATCGTAAGAGCTGGCTTCAATGGATCTTTTCCATTTTGCGAAGCGTCATCTCTCGCTCGGCCGACACTGCCCATAATGAACCGAACACGCGATCGAAATTACACGCGGTGCTAGATAGCATGTGTGCACAAAAGACGCAGAGTCAGTTCTCGCGCGGTGACTTTCTTGTTGGAAAAATCGAAGATCAAAGCCTGTGGAAATTACGTTGGCGGGACGACAAGGACACGCTCGTGTTCACTCGTAAACCGCCATCGAACGCGTATCTCTTGGCTTTTATTTCAAAGACATTTCCGTTTTACTATCGTCCTATCTCGAATTTATCGAAGTGAGTTGCACGGGGCTGATACAGATCAGACTGATTTTCGTGCGCGGACAAACATCGCCTTTGCGGAGGTTTTTATATCCGAATGATAAGAATACGAAAAATTCAACTTGCGCAATAGACACGAAACGAAATTGGGACAAAACTTCTATTGACAATGCAAAAGCGACAATAATCTTAACAGAGTCGCGTGCTAAAATTTACGGTTAAAATTAAAAGAATAGATTCTAAATATATTTGCATTTAAATTCAATTCTCTAATTTTGCAAAATATAGAAAAATAAGTTATCTCTGCAGTTTCTTTATTGATATATTCAAGTTAATAGTCGAAACTATAATAATTATTCGGTCAAATTTAGATAGCAATGAAGTATATTTTGCGTAATTTATAATCTCTTATCAGTTGAATTATTCAAGAAGAATTTTTTAAAAATAAAAAGTATTGCATACATGCATGTATGTAAGTGTATATATATCAGAAATATATTTCGTGCGCGGAATTAATTTGCGAGAAAAAACTTATTTTTTGCGCGACGATATCGCCTCTGAAATATCGCGACGCGCGAGAATTCATTTATTAACTTCCGAGCTTGCGAAAAGAAAAATACGCGAGGCATTCATTTCTCGAAGATAGCCGATGGACCCATCGGCCGCGTATGCGCGGCGAAGTATCGCGCGTTATCTAAATTTATTTATTAGGTGCTATTATAATTCTTGCAATTGCTTATCGCTCGCGGAGCCTCTGTTACCGGTAGTGGAAGACATAATTTAGTTCGACTATCTCGCTTCTCCGCGCGCGCCACGGCAATGTTTTCCCTCCGCCAGGCGTTTAACATTAAATGGAATTCCGTCGGTATGCCATAGCGAGACTATGCCAAGCGAACTAGCGAGGAATGAGCTTTATCGTGCCGTAGAGAAGTTATAATACGAGCATAGCGTGATAGATGAATCATCACAATCGTTACCTTGTTTTTAGAACGCTGGCGAGCGCGCGATACGCGGCGTGGGAAATTCGACTTGGACGCGTCGACGAGACTATCGATCAAGCGTTTCGAGGCCGTACGAGAGTGTGTAAACTGAAAACTTTGCTTATGACTATAACTATATCGTGCATTAGATGGATTTATATATTTAAATGAAAAATTGCAGAAAGAAACATTAAATTTTTTATTTATTCATTTATTTATTCAATTTTTTTAATATTTAATTTTCTTCAATTCTATTCTGTCACAACTGTTCCTCCTCAAACGCGATTTTACAAATTACAACAATAATTTTGGCATATAAATAATCACTTTAACATCATGGATCGTTACGTTCGCAATTTATAGCGCTGAAAATGCGCGTTGTTCTTCGAGGCCATTAGACAAGGAGATCCACGCTCATCCGAGCGGCAGTGCCGTGGCAGTGGAACAATTTGCAGCATAGTTTCCAAGTGCCTAACATCACTAGCTGAAAATTTTCGTCACGCACGAAGGGTGCACACGCACACGTACATGTACGCACCCGCGCCCGCGCCGGAGATTGATCGTGTGTGCGTTGTTAAAGTCGTTAGCAGCGCGAGTTAACCGAGTCACAGCGTTACAACCGGCGGCGCTCTCCTGTCTTTATTGAATTACAACTTAGACACAACCGGGCGCAAAGTACACGGATGCCGGGGTTTACGCCGCGCGGATTAGCATGCAAATTCGCCGCATTGAATTTCATAGTTTCGACAGCTGTAACAACCGAATAGATTCGTCGTGACGCGGCACGGACCAGTACCGACGACGTCTATCAAACCCCTCCACCCCCAGTTGCCATCTACTGATAAGCGAATTGTTTCACCGGGGATATAACCGAGCGCAGTATAACTCGATCCGCCGGCTGCGTCACTATCAGCGAGATTAATACCTGCGACTTTCTTCTAATGAAAACGAGAATTAAGTCAAGATAGACGCAACGGCAAACGGCATATTCCAATTGCAATTTCAAAGCGAAATGATATTAAATGTAAATTGAAGAAGAATTGAATTTCCCATGTACGTTAATCATTTATTCACGCAAAATATTGCCGAGTAATGAACAAGCGAAATAATATTTATTGCTTTGGACGTAGATTCAATATCAAAAGTCGTTAAAATGCATATTCTCCCTCCCTCGATCGAAACTCATTTCGATGACAATATTGTCGGAAACTGGCGGTTGTACTCCCGTCACTCGATTCATAGTCGTACAGCGATGAAGCGTCATGGAAAATATTAATCCAAATGCACCATAAAGTTAAATTTATCGTTTTTACAATGTAACAACTGATTTGTCAGAGGACGCAAATAATATAATACTTTTTTTTGCAATTTATCATGAAAATTTATTTTGCTATTGAATTAATTAGTTCAAATTTCAATTTAATTATTTGGCGAACTTGGCGCAAAAATCCTCCTGCAAAAAGCAAATAATTTAAATTTAAATTTTGTTTTTTATATATTTAATTTAAAAAAATTTTTAAATGATATTTAAACAATTTTTTCAAAACTTTATTAAAATAATCTTTATTTTTATATATCTAAAGGTCACGTTCCAGTTTTTATAACACATGTATAACTATGCGAAATTTCTTACTATTATATATATTTAACTTGAGCATTTTTTTACGCATTCGACCAGTGGCATACATGTTTTCGTATGCCAAGTCGTCGACATAATCGTTTCTAAGCGGGCATTATCGCGGCCATGACGGCGTTAGCATGTCGTATTTTTTTCTTTCTCAGCGGCTTAACGTCCTTGCGATCTTTACACGCGCAGGGTCTTTTATCGCTTTCATGGATCTTCACCATTCTAGTTACATAGTTGCAATAAAACCGGTCCTATCGTCGAAGAATAAAACGCTAATCAGTAGAACTTCGCCGGAGGAATTAAATCAGATTTTATGCGAATCGTTTGTCATTATCGGTTGCTACGAAATCGAGGAAATGATGCGCAACGCAACGAGATAAATTAATATTTTAACGATCAACTTACAATATTTCTGGCGCGCAGTACGCAGATTTAATTACGCAAATACGAGGGGGATGAGATGAGTGCGATATCCCCCGCGTATTCCAATAACTCGTCATTGGCCCGATCAAATTTACTGCCGCGCGTGTTTATCGATACCGCCGCGAAACCGCGAACGTATGTTGCTACGAGCAAAATTCAATACGCCGAACCTGCTCGGAGAGCCGCTCGGTGAACTTGTATTTATCGTGTCGGCCCTGAACCGTCTTGTGCTTTGCCTCGCATTGCCTCCCTTTGCCTCGCAGATGCAACGCGGTAAGCGGCTTGCTAACGCGATTCTCGCTCGCATACGGGTTAAGGCATGCGGATACGCGGCTCGACTTTCCCGTAAAAGCGAAACGCCCTTACGGGCTTGTGGCACGAGCGTGCGGCTCGGCTTCATAGTATATGCTCTTAGCATGCAAGCGAGTATGGGCAGATCATGCACGAGTCGCTCGTACATTTCGATAGCGCTGCTTCTCCTGCTGTTATATTGTCGTATTCGTGTGCGTTTCCGGTCGCTAAAGTACGTCGAAGTAATAATATGAGGCCATGAGAAAAATATATCTTTGCTATCACTCTTTCGAATATCTTTCTCTTCTTCTGTTGTAATTTTCCTTCGATCTGTATTGCTTTCTTGATATAATTACTGCAGAGATGCCTTCGATTTACTAAAATTGTTACAGATTGAAGTTATAGGCAACGACTCATTTTTACAATATATTATAGTTTTTACGATTAGAAAGATAGATAGTATTTAAGAATAAAATAAACTCTGTATTAATATGTGAAAAATATTGATAATTTGTTGTGCGATTTTCGCGTATTAAACTTTTTTTTATGCAACAATGAAAGCGGATATAGATAGACTATTTTTTATAAAAATTTGTATTTATATTATTCAATTTCCAGTTGTCCCTTATTCTTTTCATTCAGCGCATTTTAGCAAATTCTTTTTTTTTTGACAGTTCTTTTATTCATGTCACAGCAACCTTTTTTTCCGTTTCATTATTCTTACACGTGCAACGCTATCGGAATTTTAACAAAGTGATACACGCTGCAACGAGAACCTTTGTAGGACAAGTAAATAAAAGAAGCTTTCACGAACGCCTGCACATCGATCTTGAAGCATTTAAAGCAGCAGCGACAGGAAAACGGTAAAAATATGTCCATCGCGTTGCTGTGAAAAATTCAATCGTGTCGGATTGCAAGCAACGTATAATAGAAATATTGAATCGCAAACATTCGCTGCATTAAATAATATATTGACTTTGAGATCTCACAATGATTATGTAATGAATACAGGAAAACAGAATCACTTTAGAGAGAGTATATTTATTTCGACTAATATTTCCCTTAGAATTTATTG